GATTGATGTTCAGGACTCCAGTCAGGGAGAACCAGTGAGGGTCTATTAGGGATAATCCTTCAGGATCCCAGTCAGGGAGAACCAATGAAGGTCCTTTAGGGATTGATGTTCAGGACTCCAGTCAGGGAGAACCAGAGAGGGTCTATTAGGGATAATCCTTCAGGATTGCAGTCAGGGAGAACAAATGAAGGTCCTTTAGGGATTGATGTTCAGGACTCCAGTCAGGGAGAACCAGTGAGGGTCTATTAGGGATAATCCTTCAGGATCCCAGTCAGGGAGAACCAATGAAGGTCCTTTAGGGATTGATGTTCAGGACTCCAGTCAGGGAGAACCAGTGAGGGTCTATTAGGGATAATCCTTCAGGATCCCAGTCAGGGAGAACCAATGAAGGTCCTTTAGGGATTGATGTTCAGGACTCCAGTCAGGGAGAACCAGTGAGGGTCTATTAGGGATAATCCTTCAGGATCCCAGTCAGGGATAGCAGATGAACATTCAGTATTCTTCATCAACATTGTTGAAAATGTAGTTTAGTTTTCACTAGGTTTGAATTTTTCATGATCTGTTAGATTTTTGTGACAAACCTTGTGTTTTAGAGTGTGTATGGATTGTTACCTTGATGCCATATTGTTGTGTTTCCTCTGTCTATTGTGACCCAACTGTAATTTAATTGTATCTTGTAATAGTTGTGCATGATTTCATTCTTTTCATTCTTTATATATCTGATAGAGACAGGCTGATAGATAATGGTCAGTTCTGACTCTCTTTACACTACAGTAGCATCATGTCCTGATGGCTGGAAACATAATTAGGTTTAATGGTTCATTCTCATGACTTCTGGCATCTTCAACTTCTCAAGTTATTTTTTCTTAGGTGAGATGTGCATTGTCTTGATTAGTATGGAAATCAATAACGTGTAGGAGGAAGACTTAGTGAGGTTGTGATGTTACCTACATTACAGTATCATACTGTTGTGATGTACGTACAAGTTCTACATTACAGTATCATACTGTTGTGATGTACCTACATTACAGTATCATACTGTTGTGATGTTACCTACATTACAGTATCATACTGTTGTGATGTTACCTACATTACAGTATCATACTGTTGTGATGTTACCTACATTACAGTATCATACTGTTGTGATGTACCTACAAGTTCTACATTACAGTATCATACTGTTGTGATGTTACCTACATTACAGTATCATACTGTTGTGATTTACCTACATTACAGTATCATACTGTTGTGATTTTACCTACATTACAGTATCATACTGTTGTGATGTTACCTACATTACAGTATCATACTGTTGTGATGTTACTTACATTACAGTATCATACTGTTGTGATGTACCTACAAGTTCTACATTACAGTATCATACTGTTGTGATGTTACTTACATTACAGTATCATACTGTTGTGATGTTACCTACATTACAGTATCATACTGTTGTGATGTTACCTACATTACAGTATCATACTGTTGTGATGTACTCTACATTACAGTATCATACTGTTGTGATGTTACCTACATTACAGTATCATACTGTTGTGATGTTACCTACATTACAGTATCATACTGTTGTGATGTTACCTACATTACAGTATCATACTGTTGTGATGTTACCTACATTACACTATCATACTGTTGTGATGTTACCTACATTACAGTATCATACTGTTGTGATGTTACCTACATTACAGTATCATACTGTTGTGATGTTACCTACATTACAGTATCATACTGTTGTGATGTACCTACAAGTTCTACATTACAGTATCATACTGTTGTGATGTACCTACAAGTTCTACATTACAGTATCATACTGTTGTGATGTACCTACAAGTTCTACATTACAGTATCATACTGTTGTGATGTTACCTACATTACAGTATCATACTGTTGTGATGTTACCTACATTACAGTATCATACTGTTGTGATGTACCTACAAGTTCTACATTACAGTATCATACTGTTGTGATGTACCTACAAGTTCTACATTACAGTATCATACTGTTGTGATGTTACCTACATTACAGTATCATACTGTTGTGATGTTACCTACATTACAGTATCATACTGTTGTGATGTTACCTACATTACACTATCATACTGTTGTGATGTTACCTACATTACAGTATCATACTGTTGTGATGTTACCTACATTACAGTATCATACTGTTGTGATTTTACCTACATTACAGTATCATACTGTTGTCATGTTACCTACATTACAGTATCATACTGTTGTGATGTTACTTACATTACAGTATCATACTGTTGTGATGTACCTACAAGTTCTACATTACAGTATCATACTGTTGTGATGTTACTTACATTACAGTATCATACTGTTGTGATGTTACCTACATTACAGTATCATACTGTTGTGATGTTACTTACATTACAGTATCATACTGTTGTGATGTACCTACAAGTTCTACATTACAGTATCATACTGTTGTGATGTTACCTACATTACAGTATCATACTGTTGTGATGTTACCTACATTACAGTATCATACTGTTGTGATGTTACCTACATTACACTATCATACTGTTGTGATGTTACCTACAAGTCCTACATTACAGTATTATATTATGTAAGAATCATTAGCACAGCAGAATTTTATAAGCTTGAATTGTTTTGTATTGGTTCTTGAATTTGTCCTGCATTTTTGTAAGACATGGTCCTAGTCTTTGTCTGACAATTGCTTTTTGCTTTCTGATTTCCTGTTTCCTTGCCTACAGCAGTCTCCAACAGCTTTGAGATAATGGTATCTGTGATAATGAAGTTGTCTGTGTGTTTGTCGGTTTACCCATTCATCCATCGGTCCATCCATGTTTTGTGTGTTTGTCGGTTTACCCATTCATCCATCGGTTTCTCCATGTTTTGTGTGTTTGTCGGTTTACCCATTCATCCATCGGTTTCTCCATGTTTTGTGTGTTTGTCGGTTTACCCATTCATCCATCGGTCCCTCCATGTTTTGTGTGTTTGTCGGTTTACCCATTCATCCATCGGTCCCTCCATGTTTTGTGTGTTTGTCGGTTTACCCATTCATCCATCGGTCCATCCATGTTTTGTGTGTTTGTCGGTTTACCCATTCATCCATCGGTCCATCCATGTTTTGTGTGTTTGTCGGTTTACCCATTCATCCATCGGTCCATCCATGTTTTGTGTGTTTGTCGGTTTACCCATTCATCCATCGGTCCATCCATGTTTTGTGTGTTTGTCGGTTTACCCATTCATCCATCGGTCCATCCATGTTTTGTGTGTTTGTCGGTTTACCCATTCATCCATCGGTCCATCCATGTTTTGTGTGTTTGTCGGTTTACCCATTCATCCATCGGTCCATCCATGTTTTGTGTGTTTGTCGGTTTACCCATTCATCCATCGGTCCATCCATGTTTTGTGTGTTTGTCGGTTTACCCATTCATCCATCAGTCCATCCATGTTTTGTGTGTTTGTCGGTTTACCCATTCATCCATCGGTCCATCCATGTTTTGTGTGTTTGTCGGTTTACCCATTCATCCATCGGTCCATCCATGTTTTGTGTGTTTGTCGGTTTACCCATTCATCCATCAGTCCATCCATGTTTTGTGTGTTTGTCGGTTTACCCATTCATCCATCGGTCCCTCCATGTTTTGTGTGTTTGTCGGTTTACCCATTCATCCATCGGTCCATCCATGTTTTGTGTGTTTGTCGGTTTACCCATTCATCCATCGGTCCATCCATGTTTTGTGTGTTTGTCGGTTTACCCATTCATCCATCGGTCCCTCCATGTTTTGTGTGTTTGTCGGTTTACCCATTCATCCATCGGTCCATCCATGTTTTGCTTTTCACATTTGAATCAAAGTATAAGAATATCTTTGTAAGATTATATAGAAACATTTCAGAAGATCACATGAGCTGTGTTAATTTCAAAACCGATCAGTAAAAATGGCCACAGTCAGACATTTCCTAATTTGGCAACAGATAATATTCTAATGATTTGCCCACGGTATTTTCTGAAGGAACTTTCTGATTTTATGAAGTTGCTCAGTATCCTGTAAATAATTACCCAAGACCTTTTATTAATTACATTGTAATATGTGTGACTAGTTCCAAAGGAAAGTGATGTGTAGTGTAGGAGCACAGAATAGCAGAGGAGTTTGTGTCATGAGTTGTGATGTGCCAGTTAACAGGCTAACACAGATAACTGTGGTACATAGTGTTTATGTATCTGTTACAAACTTACACATGATGATGACAAGGAGATGCTGAATTATTAATCCTTAACTTTCTTAGGATAAGGAAAGTCCTAATATGGAAGAGGAGTTGTCACCCTTGGGACAGTTTTCTTAGATGAAGTGAATGTGACTTGTTGTGATCATTGGAGCGTTGGGTTGTACACAGAGACTTGGATCAGTATTTACCATGGCTGTCTGTACACACGGTCATGTTATGTACGCTTTTCCTTGGTTGATATAAATTGCACTATCACCAATATCATCTTGCTCATAGTGTTCCATGCTGTTGCTTCAGGTCCTTACTGGGTTAGAGAGGCAGTAAGTGGTAATTCCTTAGGGATCAATCTTTGTTGTGTGAGAAGCAGGTTTACTACAGTAGTGTTTGTAACAAAAGGCGCCTATGTGAGACAGTCTGCCTGCCTTTCCAGGGATATACCAGGCTAACAAGGCACTGGTAACAGAGATTAACAATATCTCTGTCTCCGCTGCATTATCCTGTGTTATACAGGAATCTTTGATTACAAAAATGAGGTTCTGAAAAGTTGCTGGATTTACATAGAACCATTTGCTCTGTGTTGGTGCTGTTAGTGTTGGTACTGTATGTGTGTGGACCTAGAGTGTCGCATGTGACCCTCACTATTACAGTTACTGTTAGAGGGAATGTGAGAAGGGTCCCTCGTAACACAGGCCCAATGAATGGTCAGGCATCCTCTCAGCAGTGTCAGATACTTGGGCAATCAAATGGCCTGAGACACCTACCACAGACATGTTCAGTCACAAACTCATGGACTTGGACATCACACGGAAATCTTTGTCCTGCTGCGGATGTTTGCCACGTGATGACAGCTTGGACAGTCCCACCGAGACCACCAAGTGTAATGCTAAGGAGTACAATGGGGTCAAAAAGGGCAAAGATTCAAAGAAGAAAAAGGGAAAATTTGGCTCATGTAGCACAATCTCTGGAAAGATTGAAAGTGAAGGTAAACAAATTGATACAGTGCTTGTTATACGATGGTGAAAGGTAATTATGTGTTCATAATGTTACTGTTTATGTTACCAAACTCCTTAAGACATGATAGTAAGTCCTTGGTGATGTTTGGAAGTCTGACTGTTCATAATGTTACTGTTTATGTTACCAAACTCCTTAAGACATGACAGTAAGTCCTTGGTGATGTTTGGAAGTCTGACTGTTCATATCGTTACTGTTTATGTTACCAAACTCCTGAAGACATAATAGTAAGTCCTTGGTGATGTTTGGAAGTCTGACTGTTCATAATGTTACTGTTTATGTTACCAAACTCCTTAAGACATGACAGTAAGTCCTTGGTGATGTTTGGAAGTCTGACTGTTCATATCGTTACTGTTTATGTTACCAAACTCCTTAAGACATGACAGTAAGTCCTTGGTGATGTTTGGAAGTCTGACTGTTCATAATGTTACTGTTTATGTTACCAAACTCCTTAAGACATGACAGTAAGTCCTTGGTGATGTTTGGAAGTCTGACTGTTCATATCGTTACTGTTTATGTTACCAAACTCCTTAAGACATGATAGTAAGTCCTTGGTGATGTTTGGAAGTCTGACTGTTCATAATGTTACTGTTTATGTTACCAAACTCCTTAAGACATGACAGTAAGTCCTTGGTGATGTTTGGAAGTCTGACTGTTCATAATGTTACTGTTTATGTTACCAAACTCCTTAAGACATGACAGTAAGTCCTTGGTGATGTTTGGAAGTCTGACTGTTCATATCGTTACTGTTTATGTTACCAAACTCCTTAAGACATGACAGTAAGTCCTTGGTGATGTTTGGAAGTCTGACTGTTCATATCGTTACTGTTTATGTTACCAAACTCCTTAAGACATGATAGTAAGTCCTTGGTGATGTTTGGAAGTCTGACTGTTCATATCGTTACTGTTTATGTTACCAAACTCCTTAAGACATGACAGTAAGTCCTTGGTGATGTTTGGAAGTCTGACTGTTCATATCGTTACTGTTTATCTTACCAAACTCCTTAAGACATGACAGTAAGTCCTTGGTGATGTTTGGAAGTCTGACTGTTCATATCGTTACTGTTTATGTTACCAAACTCCTTAAGACATGACAGTAAGTCCTTGGTGATGTTTGGAAGTCTGACTGTTCATATCGTTACTGTTTATGTTACCAAACTCCTTAAGACATGACAGTAAGTCCTTGGTGATGTTTGGAAGTCTGACTGTTCATAATGTTACTGTTTATGTTACCAAACTCCTTAAGACATGACAGTAAGTCCTTGGTGATGTTTGGAAGTCTGACTGTTCATGCTGTCCCTGTTTATGTCATCTAACTTCTAAAACCATGTGAATACACGTATTGAACAGGTAAGTGGTAAGCTTTAAGATAAACACATAATGCCACAGTTGGTCAGTCAAAGGCTATGGCTACTGTCGTGGAGGTCCTTAACTATACCTGGCATCCCATGACTATAGGAATAATGAGGCATGACCTTCTACAAGTCAATTCATGAACAATTCTAATCTCTTCTGGTCCTTCTCTTTAAAAAATAAAAAGTGGTTTTAGATCTGTGAAGGACATTAGCAGGCTGTTAACAAAGGCAAGGACTGCCTTAATGCTCTCTTTTGTATTTGCATGTGAAAAGATATATTGTTAAACTCTTATGTATTGATTTTATTGTGATGAAGGAAATTTGTCTCATGCTTTTGTCATATGAGCTATTAAATAACAGACCTTTTATCATGAAGTGGTATCAATAATTATACAGTAAAACGTATTATTGTGTAGTGATATCAATAATTATACAGTAAAACCTATTATTGTGTAGTGATATCAATAATTATACAGTAAAACGTATTATTGTGTAATGATATCAATAATTATACAGTAAAACCTATTGTGTAGTGATATCAATAATTATACAGTAAAACTTATTGTGTAGTGATATCAATAATTATACAGTAAAACGTATTATTGTGTAGTGATATCAATAATTATACAGTAAAACGTATTATTGTGTAGTGATATCAATAATTATACAGTAAAACTTATTGTGTAGTGATATCAATAATTATACAGTAAAACGTATTGTGTAGTGATATCAATAATTATACAGTAAAACTTATTGTGTAGTGATATCAATAATTATACAGTAAAACTTATTGTGTAGTGATATCAATAATTATACAGTAAAACGTATTATTGTGTAGTGATATCAATAATTATACAGTAAAACGTATTATTGTGTAGTGATATCAATAATTATACAGTAAAACTTATTGTGTAGTGATATCAATAACTATACAGTAAAACGTATTATTGTGTAGTGATATCAATAATTATACAGTAAAACTTATTGTGTAGTGATATCAATAATTATACAGTAAAACTTATTGTGTAGTGATATCAATAATTATACAGTAAAACTTATTGTGTAGTGATATCAATAATTATACAGTAAAACTTATTGTGTAGTGATATCAATAATTATACAGTAAAACTTATTGTGTAGTGATATCAATAATTATACAGTAAAATTTATTATTGTGTAGTGATATCAATAATTATACAGTAAAACGTATTATTGTGTAGTGATATCAATAATTATACAGTAAAACTTATTGTGTAGTGATATCAATAACTATACAGTAAAACGTATTATTGTGTAGTGATATCAATAATTATACAGTAAAACTTATTGTGTAGTGATATCAATAATTATACAGTAAAACTTATTGTGTAGTGATATCAATAATTATACAGTAAAACTTATTGTGTAGTGATATCAATAATTATACAGTAAAACTTATTGTGTAGTGATATCAATAATTATACAGTAAAATGTATTATTGTGTAGTGATATCAATAATTATACAGTAAAACGTATTATTGTGTAGTGATATCAATAATTATACAGTAAAACTTATTGTGTAGTGATATCAATAACTATACAGTAAAACGTATTATTGTGTAGTGATATCAATAATTATACAGTAAAACGTATTATTGTGTAGTGATATCAATAATTATAAAGTAAAACGTATTATTGTGTAGTGATATCAATAATTATACAGTAAAACTTATTGTGTAGTGATATCAATAATTATACAGTAAAACTTATTGTGTAGTGATATCAATAATTATACAGTAAAACTTATTGTGTAGTGATATCAATAACTATACAGTAAAACGTATTATTGTGTAGTGATATCAATAATTATACAGTAAAACGTATTATTGTGTAGTGATATCAATAATTATACAGTAAAACTTATTGTGTAGTGATATCAATAACTATACAGTAAAACCTATTATTGTGTAGTGATGTCAATAATTATACAGTTAAACGTATTATTGTGTAGTGATATCAATAATTATACAGTAAAACGTATTATTGTGTAGTGATATCAATAATTATACAGTAAAACTTATTGTGTAGTGATATCAATAACTATACAGTAAAACGTATTATTGTGTAGTGATGTCAATAATTATACAGTTAAACGTATTATTGTGTAGTGATATCAATTATTATACAGTAAAACGTATTATTGTGTAGTGATATCAATAATTATACAGTAAAACTTATTGTGTAGTGATGTCAATAATTATACAGTAAAACATATTATTGTGTAGTGATATCAATAATTATACAGTAAAACGTATTATTGTGTAGTGATATCAATAATTATACAGTAAAACTTATTGTGTAGTGATATCAATAATTATACAGTAAAACGTATTATTGTGTAGTGATATCAATAATTATACAGTAAAACTTATTGTGTAGTGATATCAATAACTATACAGTAAAACGTATTATTGTGTAGTGATGTCAATAATTATACAGTTAAACGTATTATTGTGTAGTGATATCAATAATTATACAGTAAAACGTATTATTGTGTAGTGATATCAATAATTATACAGTAAAACTTATTGTGTAGTGATATCAATAATTATACAGTAAAACGTATTATTGTGTAGTGATATCAATAATTATACAGTAAAACGTATTATTGTGTAGTGATATCAATAATTATACAGTAAAACCTATTATTGTGTAGTGATGTCAATAATTATACAGTAAAACGTATTATTGTGTAGTGATATCAATAATTATACAGTAAAACGTATTATTGTGTAGTGATATCAATAATTATACAGTAAAACTTATTGTGTAGTGATATCAATAACTATACAGTAAAACGTATTATTGTGTAGTGATATCAATAATTATACAGTAAAACGTATTATTGTGTAGTGATATCAATAATTATACAGTAAAACTTATTGTGTAGTGATATCAATAATTATACAGTAAAACTTATTGTGTAGTGATATCAATAATTATACAGTAAAACTTATTGTGTAGTGATATCAATAATTATACAGTAAAACTTATTGTGTAGTGATGTCAATAATTATACAGTAAAACTTATTGTGTAGTGATATCAATAACTATACAGTAAAACGTATTATTGTGTAGTGATATCAATAATTATACAGTAAAACTTATTGTGTAGTGATATCAATAACTATACAGTAAAACGTATTATTGTGTAGTGATATCAATAATTATACAGTAAAACGTATTATTGTGTAGTGATATCAATAATTATACAGTAAAACTTATTGTGTAGTGATATCAATAATTATACAGTAAAATGTATTATTGTGTAGTGATATCAATAATTATACAGTAAAACGTATTATTGTGTAGTGATATCAATAATTATACAGTAAAACTTATTGTGTAGTGATATCAATAATTATACAGTAAAACTTATTGTGTAGTGATATCAATAATTATACAGTAAAACGTATTATTGTGTAGTGATATCAATAATTATACAGTAAAACGTATTATTGTGTAGTGATATCAATAATTATACAGTAAAACGTATTATTGTGTAGTGATGTCAATAATTGTACAGTAAAACGTATTATTGTGTAGTGATATCAATAATTATACAGTAAAACGTATT